TAAAAAAAATGTGTCATATATACACAATGGAATATTACTCAGAATTAAAAGAGAATAAAATCATGGCATTTCCAGGTAAATGGATGGAGTGAGAGAAGACAATGCTAAGTGAAGTTAGCCAATCCCCAAAAAAACAAATGCTGAATGGTTTCTTTGATATAAGGAGGCTGATTCATTGTGGGATAGGGAGAGGGAGCATGGGAGGAATAGATGGGGGGGACGAGAAAGGAGGGGGCATGCGATAATTAATGATGGTGGAATATGATGATCATTACTATCCAAAGTACAAGTATGAAGACACAAATTGGTGTGAATATACTGTGTATACAACTAGAGATATGAAAAGTTGTGCTCCATATGTGTAATAAGAATTGTAATGCATTCCACTGTCATAAATAAATAAATAAATAAATAAATAAATGGATTCCAGAATAGGGACATGATGAATTAATGGCTCTCAGTCTTTTCAGGGAAATGCCCACAAGGAAAAAGGGTGTGAAAGGGTTTGCAGTGCATGGGCAGGCAGATGCTGAAGAGGTAACCTTAAGTGAGGGAGTCACATCTGAAAAAGTCCTCTGAGTGATGAGATGACTCCCTTCCAGATCCTTCCCATGCCTTGTGACTGCCCACTTCTTTGAGGCTCACTGCTATCTAACTACATGAGTAAGTAGATTCAGATGCACCATGAGGAGTGGAGAAGGGTTCTTAAAAACAAAAACAAAAACACAGCAAACAAGGAGATAGAAACAGAACACCCAGGTGCCATCCAGAGGCTCTGCCTTAATCACATGGGTTTTAGAGAGTTGTTYTGGGACACTGCAGGGATAAGGAGGAAGGAGACTGTGGAGCCTGCAAAGTCCTTAGCAAAGCTGGAGTTGTAGCTAAAGCTCACCTGGCTAAGAGTCCCACTCTCACAAAGAACCAAGAAGGGTTAAAATGAATGACTCCCTCTAGGGTTAGAAAATAAAAGTAAAACACCTGGTTTAGAATATTGTGGAGAAATCCCCTAGTCATGGAGACGCTTCACAATTTTTATTTTTCCAAAATTCTTTTCTTATTTGAGTTCCTAATTGCCATAGATACTGTACAAGGAGTCATACATAACATAATGGGAAGAGGGTGAGAGGGTGGGAAAAATAAAATTATCCACAGCTAAGACTCTGGGCTATACAATTACGAGCAATTTTTTTTTCCTATATTTTGGTCCTTCAAAATTTTTACACGGTAACCTGTAAATACTTTTATATATACATAGGTATGCATATAGATGGATATAATTGGTAGTGCTTCTGTAAGTGGTGAAAAAAATTTTTGTTTTGAACCTAAGAAAGCAATTCTTCACATAATTTATAATCGTGGTATCATCAAAAAAATTCCGAGACATACATCATCTCTCCAGGAATAAACTGAGCTCCTCTCTGTGGACAAGCCAGTGGTAGAACTCTGTGTTGAAGACCTTGACCATGAATCGTGGGCTCTCGTGGGTGTGCAGCTTCCACTAGATGAAAACGATGATGGGGATTCACTAYTGGAATGAACATAAGCAACAGACATAACATTTACACAGAGTGCACTAATTTAAGAATATTTTTGCATTAGGTTAAAAATAAAACTGCCTTYTAATTTAAAAGGTTCGTGATGGACCATCACTGATTTGTTATTGGAATTTTTTTTTGATTTTTGTAAGCAGCAGCATTTAACAGGTGAATTCTTACCAGGTATATTTATCAATGGCTTTCTGAACATTTCTTGTAAAATGTGTTGGTAAAGGATCTTTGCTTTTCACAGCAACACTGTGCTTTCTAGAACCTTCGGAAAGTCCTCTTCTGAAAAACAAAAGAAACATGAAAAGCCCCAACAATGTCATGCTATATTCATTAAATAATATTTGTTAAAACTTGTAAAATTCCTTTTGTATAAGGTTGCTCCTCTTCTCCTTCTGTGTCCCCCAAACACAGGTGTGTGTGTACAYGTAACACACCCCCTTAAGAAACTAAAGCCTCAGACCTTGTCTTTTTAATGTTTCTTAGAATCAAGGTGGCCAATAATCTGCATGCATCTTTATGTGAAGTGAGATAATAATAACAACTTTTGGAGACGTAGCCAGAGAAGTAAGTTACCCCAAACAGGTCAATATTTTAGACATGGCTTTACTCCAAGGTGTAAGACTTGGCAAGAGGTAAAACATGGGCTGGATTTCAAGTTGCCCTTGACCAGGTTCCCTTATCCTTGAAAACCCCAACTGGGACTCCAGTAAAAATCATGAATCCCATATATTCTGAAATAGATCAGATTCTTTTGAATCACTAGAAGCCACACAAACATCTAACCTATTTTACTTTAGCATTGTTTCTTGGTGTATATTCTGAGTTTTACAGAGTTTGAAAATATTAAAATTTAATGGAGAACTGTAACAAAAGAAAATCTAAATTTCAAGTAAGCTGTTAAACCTAACTGTAGCACAGTTTGTGTTAATCATTAAAATGTCCTTTCAATGAACCTCTTAAAACATTTACTTGCCTCTAGTCAAAATATCTTCCTGATGTTTMATAGTAAACTACTTTTATTCTTAAAGTAGATATCATATCCTCTCATACGAATAAAACGTACATTAACTTAAGATGTGATAATAAATTAGAAGAATAACTTCCACTTTCAACATTCTCAACAAAAATACCACTCAATGTGTACTTTTTTTTTTTAAGTTTGTTTTTGTTTTCAATTTAAATGGTACCTAATTTAGGGGCTGGAGGTAATTCAGGGGTCTAACATGCACAAGGCTCTAGGTTTGATCTCTGGCACCATAAAATAAAYAAACAAATAAACAAACAAATAAAATGGTACTAATTTTCAATATTTTTATTTTAAATACTTGGAATAAATATTACACTTACTTATGTATCTATCATAATCTACACAAAAGGGAATTGTAAAAMTATATTAAAACTATAGAGATTAGCAAGAACCCCTACCTTTCATAAATGTGTTTTATACAAAAGAACAAAATTATATGATTTTTTTCCTTTCTCCCTACTACTTACATATTGTAAATACAGTATGAAGATAGGTGGCACATGCCTGTAATCCCAGTGGCTCAGGAGTTCAAAGCCAGCAACTCAGAGAGGTGCTAAGCAACTCTGTAAGACCCTGTCTCTAAATAAAATGCAAAATAGGGCTGAGGAGTTGTCAAGTGCCCCTGAGTTCAATGCCCGGTACAAAAAAAAAAAAAAAAGATGTTAAAATAAGGATACCAGAGAAAAAATATAACTTTCATGCTTTAATAAACTGCTTTTCCTTTAGCTCTGTTCAGTTGTTTTTAAACCATCAGTTACTTATCATTTACATTGTGACTCAATAACTTTTTTAGTTAAACATAAAACATCYTAYAAAATAGCTGACCAAAAATCAACTAACTAACATACATCAAATAGACATGTTTTGAACTTAAGAAGTATGCATTCATATATGAGCTAATATGTTACTGAGAAATAATTTTAAAATCCAGTGTGATTAATTAACTAAAATACTGTTCCTTCATGATATCTTTATAACAATGGATTAGAATTTGTTCTCTCCTGATACTTTAAGCAAGACACTTGCCTTCTCCTGGATACTATCCACATCTATAAAATAATACAGAAGTTCTTCCCTCATTCTAGGATAAAGGGCCAAGACTCCTTGTGGTTGTCTGAAACTGTGGATAGCACTTACCCCTATTGATACCATATTCTTTGCTACACTACACATGCACCTATAATAGTTCTTGTTGTTTCCTTGTACCTTCCTTAGCATTCTGATTAAATAGATCTCTTTGGGCATTTTAAAATTTTGAACTTGACACATTATTAATCTTTTTGTCTGTAGCATCTTAAATAATGCTTGTCACACAAGAAATACTTTCTACGTTTATTGAAAGAATCAATAAGCAAAGATTCAATGAGTCACTCAAACACAGAACACCTTTTACTCTATAATTACTCTGAATGTTCTTATTTACCACAAAAGATCATGTTGGGACCACACATTTAAAAAAAAAAAACAATAAATAAATAAATAAATAAAAACCATTCTCCAAATTCAGGACATTTCTAGAGAATTTTAAAGTTTTCTAGAGAGGATAGAAAGTCACAGCTCTTCTCTGAATAGCTTCTATCTACCTCCCAAATGACTTTCATGACTAAATGAAGCCTCTGCTCCATTAGTCTTCTTTATCACCATTCTTCTTGCTCATAGCACATCTGCCTTTTGTGCAAACTGGAAGCAAAAATTCACTTATTGGAAGCATGCCCAGTTTGTTTTGTTTTCAATGAAGAATAATTTCTTCCTCTATAAAATTCATTCTTTTTGTGGGGGGGGGAGTCTTTTCAAACTAAGAAGAAAATTGATTTCAAAATGGACATGTTAATGTCTCACTGCATGTGACAGCAAATCCTTTCTAAAACCATCAGTCCTGCTCATATGAAAGTAGCTGAGGGTCTGAGGTGTGGAGCAAGCAGGGCAGGAATTCGAAGCTCTGCAGTGAGCACAGGGGTTTCTATCCAATGGATACTTTAAAACACTAATTCCACTCCATTTCTGCAACCTTTTCTTCCTCTTCCCCTCCTCATGTCTTTCTGTGCAAATTCTTGAACTTCAGGGTTGAGGGTGATAACCTACACATTTTGACCACAAATTGCGGAAGAAACTGGATGTTATTTGAGGAATTTATTTGAGCCCACAACTCAAGGACTGCCAAAGGTCACCAAGAAGACAGGAAAGCAGTTGGGACAAGGATAAGGATACTGACATGCATATATCTCTCCAGGAACCACAAATTACTAATATTGTGAATTCAAAACGAACTCATAATATTTCTTGCCTCTTTTGRGTTCTGTTTTGGCCATGAGGTTTCTCTATGCGCTAACCAAGCATTGAACTGCTACTCCATGCATAACATTCAACACTTTTTTAATCCCTTGCAATTTCAACCTCTACATTCTATACAGTCTTAGAAAGTATACAAACTTACAGGATGCATTCTAACTGGTAAATATTTTTAAAACTTAAATGTGGAATATCTAATAAATTTATATTACATTGTGCATARAAATGTGACAATTTTATGCTAGTTCCTTTCTCTATTGCTTAAATTTTAGAGATAATGAACTATTGCTTGTCAGTGCATTTATTTGGGTGCAAGACCTAAGTTCCCTCAGTGTAGACTGAAGTGCAGTCACTGAACTGTATTGCAAAGTGAAGACTGAGAACCAATCTCCAGGAGTCACTCCATTCCAGCTATCAGGTAAATGATTAATCATCTATTTTTACTTTTTAGTTTGCTTCTCGATGGCCCACAAACCTCTGCCACATTGTCCTGTAGAAATTAAAATGTTAGGCAGTGATCTTGAAGCCAGAATTAGACAGGCAGTCGGTATAGATAAGTAAATCAAGTCAGATCAGATCAAGGAAGCCAATTTGAGTGAGTCCTGGAAGTTGGAGATGCTAATGCCCCCAGAGCCCTTCCTCCACCCTTATGAAGATAACCTGCCCTGGCTCCAACCAGTTGCTAAGGTAACCTGTCCCAGGGATTGTCCCTCCCTACMAGAGAGTTGTTAATTAAGCCCCCTTCCCGTCCAGATCTTTCCAACTTGGCCCCTCCAGCATGTCTGCTTTTCTCCTTTTGGCCAACCCACTGAGGATCCCCTGGGCCTAGTCACAGAAGTATGCAGGAAGGAGAGAGATTAGCGAAAGGGGCCAGGAGAACAAAGGAAGCCTATGGCTAATAAAAAAGAACACCGCTGCTTCTTGGGATACCAGGATACCAGCCATAGCCCCCTTCWCCCTGCCAGGAGAAGTCTATCCCACCCCTTTTTAAATAAACCCTGCTTGCCTCCGCGTGCTTCTCTAATGTTATCCTCGGACCTGTGAGAGAGCACAACTCCTCACAGTAGACCCGCAGGMTCAATCTCAGTTTTCGGAAAGTCGCGCTTCCATGTGAAAGGATTATCCGAAATAAGCAYTGTTGCTGGGTTAAACCGCAGGCTGCTTTTCTGGTCTATTTCTGGCAAACACAGATGAGGTCACTCAGGGTTATTATCACGAAGCTGCTCCTGCATCACGCACTCTCATACGTCCTAAGACAAGTTCAGGGCTCTGGGGACCTGATGGAGAAGTCCCATCAGACGCGAGGAAGGCTTCTCAGACCAAGTGAGCAACTTCACTTGGGAAGGCCTGATGATGTCAGAGCGTCAAGCTTTCACGAATGGATGCAGGAAAATACAGACCAGGATAGACTCCGGTTTTGCAGGCAGGGAAAAAAAAAAAAAATCACGGCCCTTCGCATAAAAAGAGGACACCAGAAAGAATTCCTTACACCTCCTCTCGCCCATGAACACTTACCCAATTACAATCAGCCCAAGACCTTGGCTCGTGTCCCCCGGGCCGGGCCCTGCGCCCTGAGGCCTGCGCGTCCCTGCGCCTTGGCTCCCTCCTCGCGCCCCGGGCTGCCAGAAGGCGGCCGCGCGCCCCCGCACCCGCGGGGCCTCGGCTCCCCGCCGGCCCAGCCCTGCGCCCCCTCGGCCGACTTAGCCCTGCACGTGCAGCCGGGCCACACTCGCGGAGCGCCGGCCTTCAGCAGCGCAGTTCCCGGCGTTTGAGACCCAATCTGCGCGGCCCATGGGCGCGGCTGCTGGGGGGCGGGCGCCGAGCACTCCTGCCCTCTCCAGATCCCTGGGACCTGCGCCGGCCAGATTCCGCTGCGGCGGGGAGACGCCTCCGGAGCTCTCCGCGCAAGTCCTCCTCTCTCCTCTGCAGCTGCGCTCTCGCTGGGTGGGGCCGGGCCAGGCTG